ATATATATATAGTCCAAAAGTTAACAAAAATTAAGCGACAAAAATCAAGCCACAAAATATCCATCACAATCGTATTGATTGTGCGAACAGATCTCTGTATGTCAAGTTGTATTGCGTGTTTTTTTCTTTTTTTTTTTCTTTCTTGTTTTAATTGCATTGCCTATTTAATCCATTAGATATTCGGTAACTGTAAAAAAGACTTACAAATAAATGATACGAGGTTCAATCGATTCTAGAGTTATGATATCTATCTACAAATAATAATACCATTGTAAAAACGGAGAGACCAAAGCGATACACAGTGTAATTAAATATAATATAAACTGCCTCAAAATGGCTACCTATTTACTGCTATCATAAGTGGCTATTATGATAATAGTCATTAAGTATCGTTCACACTTCTTTGATTGTGGTTTAGTTACATACTTTAAGACGTTATGATACATGTGAGTATGACACGGAGTTCCACTAAAAATATCTGTTAGATACGCTGAGCATTACTGACTTAAGCACTGTACTAAATTCACATAAAATTGTATTGTATTATTATTATTAGAAAACTAATTATTTTTCATTGGTTTGAAATACTGGTTTAATATATCCGTATAAAACCTTTGTCAACTGGAACTCTTAGAATAATGATTTACACGATACCGATTCCTTGTTGGAAAGAATGCTATATACGAGTAAGTCATTACAATTCAACTCTTATTGGACATTACAACAGGCAACAATTGCAAGTCATGTTTTTAGTTCGCATTTAACATCACAATATCCAATATAATTATTTTTCTTTCCTTTCTCTTTCCTTTCTTTTTCCGATATATCGCTATATTGTGAAATGTACAGAGATAATCGAGTTAAATACGTAATGATCGCATAAAGAAATGATAAATGAGAATAAATATAATTATGCAAGATCTGTGACATATGTTTCGATTAATGTTCAACTTTAGCTTCTTAAGAATGTGTTCATCAGTCGGATGGCAGCAGTCTTACTGCAATTAATAGAAGCTCTAACAAGCCTTCTAAGTTAGATTAGTTTTTCCCTTTACATGTATTTTGTATATTGTCTAATATAAATAAATTAATGATCCAGTATGAGGCCAGAGAAAGGCAGTTACATACTCTAAGTGATAGATAAACTTTACTTTATCTTCTATGTGTTATTGTTCATATCCACTTTTGTTTTGTATCTGGCACTCTTTCCTATTTTAGGCTGCTTCTCAGTTTAACTGTAATTTATTTTGCTGGATTATTGCGTTGCATGGAAAAATATGGCTTTATCCAAAATGCTATTTAACAAAGGCAATACATCGTACAATTACATTGTATGCGCGCCACAGTTGTTGTCACACAATTAAACTTCTTTGAAAAGGCAGAACCAGTGTCCGTAAAAACGAGAGGCTCCCCGATTTTTACAGACATCAGGTAATTCTTATCGTCAATTACAAATGCTGTTATTTGTACACTATGCATGTAAAAAGCATTACACTACATACGTGATCGTTCATCTCTTGTGATGTTCAACAAAGCTAAATGGTAAACTTCGAATAAATACCGGTTTTCCTCTTACTGTATAAGTTATCAAGGTATATATAGAATAAAGGCAGAAAGAAGAAACCTTCCTCGACAAAGTGCCTACAAAAATATTTATATAATAGATTGAGGATTGCTGTTTTCTAAGACTTTAATCTGGTTATATTAGCCACGTGTTACCAGTCTTAAACATAGTGACTAATCGATCATCATGAACAAGTCTTTTTGTCTTTCTACAACTGTATACATTTTTGATCTTTAAGCGTCACTCTCTGGTGCAGGGCATAAAGCGTGTAGTAATTAAGAATCTCTTTACCCCTCCGTGGGGCATATTTAAAAATACGGAAAGATAAATACTCGGTAAATACGTACATGTGTACAGATGCCACAGATAACTTATCGAGAGCAAGCTGAGCTTCACTGAATCATATATAAATATGATGTAATAAAAAATAACTTATGCTACCAATGCCTTCCCGTCAAAACATTTCGAGGTCATTAAAAAAATATCGGTTATATGACATAGTCAATCTTCTTTTTCACTTTTTTCTGTTTTTTTTTTTCATTTTTCTTCTTTTTTTTTTAAACTGTATTTTGTAAATCCGCCTTGTCACGAACGATATTGATGCAGGATTCAAAAACGTCTCACACTATCCATATAGGCTAGCTATGTCGGTCACTAAGTAGAAGAACGGAACACGGCTGATAATTAACCATACGCGTAGCGTTCGTCCACAGCATGAAGGAATTCTTATCTTAGATATATGAATATCCTATACAACTTGTATTCTCGTCAATGAACGTCTCATTAAGTGCGCTTACATACAAATCCTGCGTATAAAAAAGTCTCAAAATAATAAGATTTTAAACATATTTGTTCAACGCTCGATCTAATATTTTGATCTTTAGTGGGATTTCCCTTATAAGTATGACGCCATTACAACGCAAGCACTTATAAGTATAGAATTAATATTTTCGATATTAATTCATGATAGATGACGGATGGAGTTCCCGTACAATGTATTTATTATACGAGAACAAACATTAAAGAGACAGCTTATTTTAAAATCTTTAAAAAAGTATTTTCTTAAAAACTTTTGTTTTGTTCTAATTTTATCAAATTGATGCGTCCAAATATCTAAAGAAAAAATTTAATTTACTTTTTTTATTTAAGATCTTTCAAGTTATTTGCACGATTATATTGAAAGTTCAAATCTATACAGATTTATACTGAAACCTCGTAATAACGTGCGATTCGGGAGTCTATAATAAAGTTGCTCTTCACTCCAAAACAATCAAAAATTCAAGATTTTAGTGACTACTGGTTACTCCCCACTCATACTATTCACAGCACAAAAGGGATTCTTTGCGCTATTTCAAGGTTTGCTATTCGAGGTTCCAGTGTATTTTTATCTAAAAATAATTTTAGAAAAATTAGAAACTTAGCTTTAAAGCATTGTCATTAAAAAAATTGTAGCTTTTTCTCTAAGAACGAAACGTCAATATGTCATAGCTATTCAACATTTCTTCTGCTTGAGATAAAATGAAACAAGAATATGATTATATAAATTATAAATCGCAAGCTTCATTCTTTGTCTCTATTGTATTTAAGAAAAAAAATCCCAAAAAACTTTATATAAACTGTCTCTTTAAAAACTACCACATATCCTGTGGCATTAGCATAAATTCATGATTCACAATTCCTGATTCGCAATAAATTCGCGGAAATCCGTCATACGAAAAAATATGCTTAAAAAATGAAAAAAATATAGAACGCCTTCCAAATAGCCGAGTAAATCAAGGAAGATGTCGCAAATATAAAAAAATCAAGAACGTTAAGAGTATAAGAATGATTTCCTTCTAACACTTACATCTCAATTTTCCGAGAGACAACTATCAAGTTGCCTTGAATTGTTTGCATCTTTAGTTCTACCTCAACGGGAGGAATAATATTCCAATTTCTCAAAACTCGGAAATAACATATGAATGACAAGACCGAGAAGTAAATCTCTTCTTTGTCTCTATATTTGTCCTTGATTTGTAGTTTATTGTTTGCACTATAGTGTACAAACAAAGACCATGATGATTCCAACCACCAATGATTCTTAATAATTCTCATATTTTCGATTTCGTTGAAAAATCGCTCTACTAGCAAACATCTGTTTCCGTATTACTTGCAAATGTCATACGAATGGTGAACCACGAATTATGTATTGCGTATGTTCTGCCGCTAGCTTTACGTAGAATTATTATAATATAATACATACTAAGTATACGATTATATTCCAGTGTACTTCAGTATCCATGGTACAATAATATGCATCTTTGTACTTAAAAAAAACTGGGTTTTTCAGGCAGTCTTCCTAAGGACATTGAATCCAACATAAATATGATGTAAGACACGATCGCTTGCAAGTTTCTTAACTTAATGCTGTGTCCGAACTTTTACATATGGTATCTTTTTTTATATACATGGAGCGGAGCTGTTCGAGACACAAAATTACACCTCCAAAACACACACTAGATCGGTAATGGCATAAATGCAAAAATACGTTATATGCTGTAAACATAGTAGTCTTGTAAATCAGCACACAAACGTGCTGCTACGAATGAATAAGGCAATGTGAACTGAAAGAGAAAAATAAAATATAAACTCAGTGTAAAGGAGCTAAAAGTATAAAAACTGACGAGATGGTCTGGAACAGCTCTATGATGCGGCGATAAAATGTTTGTCAATTCAAAACTGAATTCTAAAAAAACTCACTACTTCTTTGTACAGCACTACGGTAGGCTGGAATTTAGGCTCTCTGGCAAACGGTAATTCATCATATGATACGGTGGACTGGCCGGACTACTCGGTTGGCTATTCATACCAAGATTGCTGGATCCGCGGCCGCGTTTTCGCCTCTGCAGAATGCCCTTTCTGACCATGTAAAAGCGAATTGTGCTGATCGGTATCTTGTACTTTTCTGAAGCTACTTGAAACGTCATGCCGCGTGCCACCATGTCCGAAGCTTGCTTGAGTTCCTCTTCCGAACGCCTTTGTCGTCTTTGATAACCTTGAAAGGTACCAAAATGTTTAGCTCTTATAAATTTAATATATATAAGTAAAATATAAAATATAAAATTAAATCACCTGTAAGCTCACCTTCAATCGCAGGGAATGGGCTGCTAGGATTGCAATTATTACTGGATACCATACTAATGGAATACGGTTTGACATCCTGCTGTTGTACAAACTGCTCATCCGGCTCCATTTTTACCATTCCTGTAGTTTCGGTAAGAGTCGCTTCGCAAGCGCTAAGAGCTTTTTCTAAATGTTGTAATGCTTCGCTATGTTCCATGTTTACGAAGTTGGAGGAGTTAGGATTTTGTGAAACAGGAGGTGTAATAGAGGACGAGTTGTTTCCTGTGCTAGCCATTGCCGTACATGAGATAAAGTCAGAGGTACTTTCATCATTAGATGAAGTCTCCACCTTGAAGTTGCTGTCACCGGGAGTAGGAGTCGACGGAGTGACAGGTGCATTAGAATCACATGATTGTGTATTGCTCTCATTCACCGTGTTATCGCATCCCTGAGTGGATAAGCCACGAACCTATCGAAGAATATATAATATATATTGCCTAATATATATTGCCTAATATGTTTTTGCACATATAAGACAATATTAATAAAATATTATATTATTATTACTATAAAGTAATACAATATATCTATAAAATACATAAAGAAACATTAATATTTTATTATAAGATTTTTTGTTTTAAATTAAAATCTTATATATGTTTATAATCTTTATTAGAGTTATAATCCAATATACACTGCCAGTACCAGAAATCTATATATAGTTCACATTACACATACAATAGATTTTTAATACTGACAATGTACAATGTATGTCGAGGCACAAATTAAGGTTGATACTCATAGTCGATTCTTATGTACTAGTCTTAAATATAACCTTAAGATGTCATAAGCCAATCTCCCAAAGCTATAATATCATAAGATATTGGTTAAGATAATCTTAAAATAAAAACCTAAAATAACGATCGAACATAAAACTACTGCTAAAATAATTAAAGAAAAATTGGCTGAAACAAAAGAAGTTATAGGGATACTAGCTGCGTTTTGGTTTTACAAATTGGAGGTATTTCTATATTCTATTCTATATTCAGAATTCAGTAAACAATGGTAGAATGATTATAAATGTCACTGATTTGCAAAACTAAATGTAACTATTGAAGCGTAACGCTACAGCATTTCAGTAACATTGGACAATATTATCATCGAGGTTTATCTCTTAATCGAGCAATACATAGGGTGATAGAATTAGAGAGAAGGCGACATTTTTGAAAAGAATTTCTTAAAAAATTATTGAATTATGCAAATAAAGATAATATCTAATAAAGATAACCACCTAATAAAGAGAATCGTCTTAACCACCCAATAAAGAGAACTACCTTAACCCTCTAATAAAGATAACCGCTTTAACCATCTAAGTCCTAATTTGATTCTTAATTCCTGTAATTGGATACAAAATACTATCAAATAGATACAGATAAGAGTATGTTCTAAAACTTAACTCAGTCAACTTTGATTATCTTTTATCCTTGCTCAATATTCAGTGACAAGGATAAAATGATACTCGGATTGAGTTTTGTAATACATTTCAAAAAAGTCAAAAAACAGTACCTGCAAAACTTCCGCTGCTTGCATTAAAGTAGCGAGTTGTTGTTGTTCCACATACACCTCCCCACGATACATAAATTCAACCAGGGCTTGAAGCTCCCACATTTTCATGTCTCTCAAAAAGATGACAGGATGAGTACATGGGATCTCCAACAGAAGACGCTCCAAGTAATCGCTACAGGCGGATAATACAACCTTGTGACACTTTATCGAACCTCCGTCACAAGCCAGAGTCACATCGACAAACTGTTCCGAGCTGAGTAATTTTGGAAACGCACTGTGCATGTTCGACTGATGAGAATTCCAAGAGACACAAAACTGCTGACGATCTCCTCCGGGATAAGTGCCCGGATTGGGCAGGTTACTTCCAGATTCCATGATAGCAGCTTAGTGCAGAACAAGTTGCCTGTCAAAAAAAAAAACAAGAATCATTCCACTGGATAATTGTCGCAAAAGGATTGTATTTTGTTTCGAACATATGAGATTCACGTTACTTGAAATCTCCAATTTTTACACTTAAAACGAGATAAATATATATTCGGACGTTAAAAAAGAGAAAAACGAAGATGTTGAACGCAAAAAATGCGAGAGATGCAAATAGACTTACGGTACCGGTTATTACAGAAATCACTTTAGAGAATATATACGTCATAAATACGATTTTGTGGTAATAAGAAAAAAACTATTAAAAATGTGCTCTTAAAAAAACAAAAAAAAATATCCTTTAGACATCTGTTAATTTTTTATCTGTCACTTGAGATCTTAATAATTGAACAAAGCAACGTATTCACACAAGGCACGCTAATGGAAACCCGCAAAATAAAAGTATAAAAAAAAACCGTTCGACAAAGGCAGCAACAGCGCTAACTTGAAAACGGATTCGGAGAAGGAACGCATCCGACGCTGCGCGAAGGGCCTCCTTCGGCCGCGAAGTTATTCTTGGACGCCGTAATTAAATGAAACAAATGACGAATCTGACGTTCCGGCGCGGCGGCGTTTTCGCGGACTATCGTGAACGCCGTGCGAACGATCCCTCTTTCAGCTGTCGAGGGAAACGCGCGACGCGACGCGTCGTCCTCGGCGACAGCGGCGTCGGAAGGAGCGACCGAGCGGCGTGCGCGGAACGCGGGAACGTCAATCCGGAACAAAGACAAAGACGGGCCGTCGGCCGTCGGCGGGGCCAGTCCCGACCGCCGAGTCGATTACCTCGTATGGGGGATCGTCTTTAGCCGGGACGACACGCGTGCCGCTCGTTTTTCCTAGAGTGCCGCGATCGCGCGAACAAAAGAGATCAACGGCGGGATCTCGAGGGGCTAGGTTAACGAGAGACACGATGGAAGAATTAAAAAAAAATTGCAATATGGCTGTCTGGCATAGGTCTGGAGCGGAACAACAATATCCGTGCATACATACACACGCGCACATAACCGCGAATGAAATATATAGGCGCGAACGTACACACACACGCGCGCGCACATAAAACCACATACATCGGATATACATGTACGCGTATTCACATCACGTATATATATATATATATATACACACATCATACAATACATATATATATTACACACGAATATAAAGGCCGAACTCGCGCCACAGTCCTCCCTAACGACACGACGCTATTAGGTTCATGTTGCTTGAAATCCAAAAATGTTTATTAAAGTTTGAACGACGAAGAGAAGGAAAGCGAAGATTCTCAAAGAATGTTAAAAGCAACAGACTTATTTTTTATAAATAGATTAAAATTGTGTTCTTGAAACGGAGGGGAATTTACAAAAGCTAGTGAATTTATTAAAATATTTTAAAATTTCAACACTTTTTGTAGTATTCATCTTGTTTCAAGATACACAATCGATACACAACCCCAGGAATCACGTTAGAAAGCACTCCTGGGTGCTCAGATTCTCAAAAAATATAACAATAAACAAATACATGAAAATGCGTTAACTTCTTTGGAGTAAAATCTCACTTCAAAAATGAAAATTTTGCCAGTCATGAGGAAAAATGGCAGAATTTTCAATCTTTTTAAGAGTGACATTTCACCCATAATTAAATAAAACTTATGCCCGTTCCTATCAAAGTAGTTTAATTTTAATTTTATTTCAATAACTCGTCTTTTTCTAGTTGTAAAAATTCGAAAAAGATGAAAAGTAAATTGAACCAAGATTAAAATTAAACTGCATCTGCACTCCAAAGAATTTAGAGAGCAGATTTCTCTAGTCTCTAAATTTTGTAGAGTGGAAGCTCACACTAAAGAATAAAGATTGAGTCTTGAAAAAGAATGGCACTCCACCAATCTTTAAGAGTGAGATTTCCCTCTTTGGAGTAAGATTCATTGTAAATTTCAAAGAATAGTATCTTTATATTATATTTTTCGAGAATAAGGCTGCCAGGGACAATTCGAACGCGATCGACACCGGTCGGCGAATCGATCGGCAGACGGCAAATCGGGCGGGTGCCGTCGGTTGAAAAATCATCCGTGGACGCGGTGCGACGTGCGCGCGTGTGACAAGCCCGCCGTATATAGATATAAGCGATACATACAGCCGGATGCACGCGCTTTCGTGGAGGCGGACAAGCGGGAGCAAGCAGGCAGACGGGCGGGCGGCGTGCACTCACTCACGCACTCATGCACTCACTCACTCACTCACTCACTCACTCACTCACTCACTCACTCACTCTCACACACACACACACACACACACACACGCTCGCTCGCTCGCTCATTCACTCTCTCTCTCTCTCTCTCTCTCACTCCCTCACTCACTCCCTCACTCACTCCCTCACTCACTCGCTCGCTCACTCACTCACTCGCTCACTCACTCACTCGCTCACTCACTCACTCGCTCGCTCACTCGCTCACTCACTCACTCACTCACTCACTCACTCAAGCAAGCACTCCACTACTTAGGCATTCAGCAAGTAGACAGAATGGAAAAGAAAAAACGACGCGTCTCTTTGGGTATCGCCGCCTCCGGCGACGATGATGCCAATGACACTCGTTACCCGTACAATCGTCACGTGTTAATCACTGTCGAGTTCGTTGAACAAATACAGACGGACAAATCTACGAAGTGGAAATGTCGCTTTTTCGTCGGGCAGTCAACATTCGCGTCGAGTCAAGACAGCCGGGTCGCGTTTTACCCGAACCACGAACGGAACGCGTCCCCACGGCACGGCGTGGAATAAAAACGAGATCTCTGCGGGAGAAGTAACATCCCCCGTGCTCACTCCCCCCTCCACACAGGACGCCTGGAGGCTCCTATAAATTTCATCATTCATACGTACACTCGCGATTCGTGCGTTCGTTCGCCTTTCTTGATCTTTTCACGCAGTACTTCCCACGCCGACGAGCGTCGCTCCTCCGTCTCGATGGGCAAAAGCGATTGAAAGCGACGCAGAACGCCACGCCGCACCGCGCCTCGACTTCGTTCTCGCGTTAACTTCGCCCGCTTAACGATTTGAACGAAACCACGAACGCACTCACGGGTGAAGGTCTCCCAGGTAGCCGCTAACTCCTTTCAGAAATATTCGTTCGAAAAAGAACAAGAATCCCTTAGGAAAACATTCGACCGTCGAGATTTATACTAGAGGGAAGTCTCAGCAAGGAGACATTGGGGCAGGGGACAGGGGAAGGTGAGAAGATACGAGAGGGGATAGACGGTATAAGACTAGCGAGGAAGAGGGGAGAATATATCCGCGTTAGTCGCTCTCCCCCCTCCCCCCTCTCACTTTCTATCTCTCTCTCTCTCCCCCCCCTCTCTTTTTATGAACGTGCGTATCATATGCGCTGACACATACTAGCGCGACATGTGTGCACGTGTATGCTTGAGAACTGCCGTTGCATACTATACGATTAAAAGCTAGAGATTCCGAGAAAGAGTGAAAGAATCCAGGTACCCCCGAGAGAAAGAGAGAGAGAGAGAGATCTGTACTAAGGAAGAACGGGCGAATAGAGCAGAATAGAGCGGCGCGGAGAATCAACCGGCGGACTGTCGCACTCCCGTTGATCGATACTTACTCAGTCTGTCCGGCCTGTATCGTCGTTGAACTGTCACGTTACGTATGCTTGAACTGGCTGACAGCCGAAATCCCAAGCGGGGCACTCTATCCGCAAAAAATGTCGCTAGACGTGAACTAGCGTGTCGCGATGAGCCTCTAGCGCGCATCCGTCACGGCGCAGCGAATCTTTGGCCTATGATTGAACCCGCGATGATTTCCTTCTTTAAGACGGGCCACTTGCTGGACTTTTTCCGCCGACGGCGATGACGGGCGACGACCGATCGTTGCCTGCGAAAGCGACGAGATAATCGCGCCCAGTGAACTACACTCTTTCGTTCGTAACGCGATCTCCCGCCTCCTCCTTTTACGCGCGAGACACCCGGCGCGAACGAGACCAGCGGTACTTTGTCGCGATTTCATGAAAGCCGCCCGAACGGTATATTCATATGTATCGCACATAATATCAGGTCTGTTCTCTTTGGGGCGGTTTCATCAACGCCGATCAAGCTTAATTATATGATTAACCGCGATTGGTCGGTCAACGGCCGATTAAGCTAACTGACGTTGGTGAAACTGGCCCTTTTAGTGACTTTGAATTTTTAGGCTCTGCATTTCGAACAGCTTCAAGGCTTCGAGAAGACGTTAAACGCTATTGCGTCATTCTGGCCGGTATTCATAGTCGGTTCTTATATTCGAAATTTTAAATACAATGGTAGTTTTCCAGCAGAGGCACAAATCGACACAAGAGTCATTCTGTCTTTGTTTCTTACTGATTATCGAACAAGGACAGGATGACTTTGTGTTAATTTGTGTCTTTTGGAAAACTCCCAATATTGAGATAAGCTAATTACAGGTCAATATTCGTAGGCCGGCATTCATAAGGGCCCGTATTCAAAATGCGCTTACAACGATATAGCGCTCTAACATGCTATAATTTACGTTACGCATACTATAGAATTTTAGAGATTAAAGCGCGCTTCTGTCTTCGTCATTTATTAAACGTAAAATAAGGATAGAATGACACAAATAGCATTAATAGCGTCTTCCCGAACGCACCTACAGTTGCTCCTTATATTTTAAGAGTGTTTTTAGTATACGGTCTTAAGCCCAGTTTTAAAATTCATGTTTAACCGAGGTTTAACTTATGTTTCATCTCTTTGTAATACTTGAATTTTAATGAGATGAAAAATAAGTTGAACTTCTATTGAGCGTTCAATTTATCAGATATCAGTTATACCGGAATATACGGTTTCTGATTGATTAAAATCTTAATATTTATTCCTGTTCCTGATATTTCCTTCATTATATGCAGGGCCTTAACTGTGAGTTGTGAAACTGAGCCTCAGGGCCTCTTTCACCAATCCTGATTAACGTTAATCGATTGTTAATTCAATCACCATATGATCACCAACGTGAGACAAACAGAAGAGGAAGGCAGAGGAGGCATTCTGATATATTAATCTGCTGTTAGCATTTCTGCGAGTTGATCATAGATTAATTTAATCAGAAGTTGATGGAAAACCTTTAAGATGTCATAAATCAATTAAAAGTCGATATTTTATAATCGATTCATTGGCGCGTATTCAGAACACACTTATAATGGTGTAGCGCGCCAATATGCTATAGTTTATTTTACTATAGAATTTTAGAGATAAAAGTGCGTTTTTATTGATGAAAAACACGTTTTGAATATGATCCATTAGCTCTCTAGTTTGTTCATGATATCTTAAGACTAAATACTCAAAAATGTTACGAACCAATCAGAAGACGAATTTTTTTAGCATCTTAAAACATTACTTAAGATTTAAAAAAGACGAGTTTGAAATAAAATACTGAAATCGGTTTCTAGCCATATTTTACTCTGAAAAATGATAACAATAGAATGACACTAATAGCATCTTCTCAAGTTATCTTTTCTATCTCCATTATTGTTCCTTTTCTCTAATCGCCGTTAAAGAATGAAGAGGTTAAGATGAAGAGATCCGTCATAAAGCCGAAATATTATATATATCAGACTACGCATTGAAGAATCAGATTGAAGATTGAAAGATTGAAGTTTGACCAATCAGAACAAAAGGAGCCAAAATTTCTTTGTCCTCATTGGTGAAATTTCAATCTTTAATCTTCAATCTCAATCTTTAATGCATAGTCTAATATATACAATATTTCGGCCTTATACCCACTTTTATTTAAAAGGATGGCGCTTCTATAGGTCCGGACCTCGCAAGTCTCTGTTTAAATATATTACCATGCGGGAGAAAGATAAAAAAAAAATATATATATATATATATATATATGTATTTATATGTATATGTCGAAAGATAAGAAAACCGAAAAGATAAATGTTAAATGTAACGATAACTGCTTAAAAGTTTTAGAAAATATTTAAAGAATTCAGAAATCCATTTGTCTTATAAGATAAGAATCCCGAGAGAAATCTGCAAAATATAGTATAATATAGATTTCTCCGTCCGGGCAGAAATTTCTATTGCACAATAAAAATTTTAGATTTTTTTGTTACAAAAATTGATTTTGTTGCGAAGCACAAGAAAGATTTTATAGTAAAATATCTCATTTTTTCTAATTGACTGTTGTGAATTTTACATCCGTTTTGTGCAACTGGACGTGTTACATCTTCTACTCGAAAATAAAATAGATGTATGTTAAGCTCATATCGAATTACGTAATAAAGATGAAAAATTGCAAAATTAATTAAAAAATTCGAATTTAATTAGAAATTTAATTTTAATTTGTTTAGATTTTGATTAGTTAAATTTTAATCTACAACTCGCAATCCTGAATCTCCTGCAGGTCGTAGTCTGACATCGTTATTTTGAAGATTGAAATTTTATTGAAATTTGATCAACAGAACGTATAAAAAAGAAAATATTTCTTTACTTTAATAATTTTAGTCAAATCCATACAATATCACTTAATAGATATATATATAGTAGTCTGACACGAACTTGAATAGGCTGTAAACACATAATTAAGAGACAAAAGAGAAGAATGATAAAGTAAAAAAAAAAACAAACCTTTTCTTATCTTCGGTTTCTACTTATCTCTAATAGTATTTTATTGGTTCTCTCGAGCAGGTTTGCTAGCTTTGACCTGTTCGATTAATGATAATTAACGTTGCGTCATGCTCTACTATTAAAGCATGTGACGTCATATTATAATTAATCTCGGGCTGAAAACGCTATAAAATGTATTTTTCGCTAGACCTACGGTATGGTTATGTTCAGAAGAAGCAGAGAAAGTTTTGCAATTATTGTAAGATTCTTTAATACGATTAGTTATATACATTTAAATTCAACAAAAAACTAAGAACAAAAACCAATCATATTAAAAAATCTTATTACAGGTGCTTTTTTACATCCATTATTAAAGGAAGAATGCGTTAGTTAAATTATTATGCATATTTGAATCTGATTGATCAAGAACTAGATAAATATACCAACGGCCACTATTGAGTAAGCTCGTTTTGTTCAATTAAAATTTATAGTAACAAACTTTATTTAATCAAGAAAAACTATGTTAAATTGTGCCAATAATATATCGTGGATTATTAAATAAAAAAGAATTTCTTTATTTCTTTTTTTTATTAACCGATCAAAACTAAACAAATTCAAAATTATAAATCAATTCAGTTCCATGAGTCTCCTGTATAACAATTCGGAAATTTTGTCCTTTGAGCTGCTAAACAAATTCGAATCTGGCGGAGTTTGAAATTTCAATTTTGAAATCATAATTCCATCACGAGTATCACGATGTACATCTGTGGGTAAAATAGGTTTCCGCGCCATATAAATGGCTTTTGATTTCTCCAGTGTGCCGATAGATGGCGTACTAATCGATCCCGCCACCTCGCGCTACAGCCTACAGCGCTATTCGGCATTCATTCTTCATTGTTGTTGTTATTGTTCTTATTGCCATTTTCGCGTCAATTGCCGGCGATCTCAACGGATATTTCAGGGTATTCCAATTAAACGGATACTCCCATTAAAATAGATCAAAGCGCTAGAATTAGCGCGTAGTTATGTCAAAGATAACAGGTTACGATACGCACGATGACGGTCCAGGATTCGTGGGCATCAGATTTTGTCAGGAGTGCAATAACATGTTGTATCCGAAGGAGGATAAAGAGAACAAAGTACTCATGTACGCGGTAAGTATATATGACCGTTCCTGACGACAGAATCTCTTTAATATCGTAAGAAAAGAAGAAAAAAAAGAGGTGCTTTGAATTGCACGAGTCATGTGAGAAGGAATTGTAATGTCAAGATATTGCCTGTTTCAGTGCAGAAATTGCGATTTTAAGCAACTGGCGGACAGCAATTGCATCTACGTGAACAAGATCATGCACGAGATAGAGTGAGTTGAAATTAAGTGGCTTGAAATTAATTAACATCTATGTAAACATTGTTAAATGTTAGACCAATTTACACTAAAGTTTTTGTAAACACACATATTAACAGGAACATTACATTAATATTATTTCCCACTCAACATTGCAAGGATAACAGTTATTAACAATAAATAACAGTTATAATAGTTATATTGTTGAGTAGAAAATTGTAACAGTGTAATGTTACCGCTATTTGGTTTTTACTAGAGCTTTGTTCTTTTTCAAAAGAAAATTTTGAACTTGATGTACACTAATGCAATAAGTTGGAGTAAAACTATATTTGTTTTACTCCAACTTATTGCACTAGTTTAAAACCAGTTCAGACTTCCTTGAAAAATAATAGCTCTTAGAATATAATATGTGAGAGAAAGAGGAACGTATCATTTTGTGCACTTGTATCTCTATTATACAAAATGACATTCCTTTGTGTAGCGAGCCATAAGCTCATTGCAAAGCTCAAAGAGAATTTGTGAAATTAATTCAGGACCTCTGTTGTATATGCTCAAATCAAGTTTGAGACTTGCGCTCACTGCTTATTACTTTTTTTTTCAGCGAACTAACTCACATCGTCGCCGATGTGATATCGGATCCTACACTGCCGAGAACAGAGGAACATCCATGCCCAAAGTGCAATCACAGAGAAGCAGTATTTTTCCAGGCGCAAACTAGACGGGCTGAGGAGGAAATGAGATTATATTATGTATGTACGAATCAGCATTGCTCTCACAGATGGACGGAATAAAACTTATATGGCTACGAACGTCCGTGTACCTTTATCCTTCTACTTGCTACTTGTAACTTATAGTTCTTATAATTTTGTAAATTGTACAAGTTGTGTATCTGTGATTGGAGGAGATGCATTGTAATTAGTGTAATATGAATAAAAATTGTATATAATAAAAGTAATGAAGAGAAAGAACGTTCGTGCACAAGGGGATGATGAATTACCGTAAGGCTCAACGCTCGGTTCGCAATCTCTATTCTCTTGCTGAGCATTTATCCCTCCGGCCGCTGAAGCATGCGGTTGGCTTTACGGACCGGGGAGTTGTCTTTTGCGAGTCGTGTTTCCTAGCCTCAGCGTTTTACGGGGCTACGTCGTGCAATCGCGACACATCTCTCCAGGGCGCGATCTTATCATGGTTTTTCACAGGAGATTTTTCGTGACATCGCGCGACAGGAAGTTTTCGTCGAATTTATCCTGCCGATCGTTCCGTCATCGTGATAAGAGGGTGGATGAATGCGTTGCAAATTCGCGATGTAGCCACGACCTGTAGATACCCTGGGACTACTCCCACACTCCCAGCTGTTTATCAGAGCCATGCACAGCCATACTGAATTTACTCGCTATATGCAGTACCGCAAGTAGCTCCCTTAGGTCCCTGTATAGTGCATAGTGCATCATGTGATTATTTATATAATTATGGATTTATTTCACTGCGATATTATTTGATATAGGCTGTGTTTCAAAATTTACTGTAAATGTTAAGAATCTATGGTATCACACGTAACACAAATTATAGATTTTCTGCGCTAGTAATAAATTTGAAATACAGTCTGTATCAAGTTATCAAGAGACATGTTCAAATTCCAATCTGAATGCTCATGTCTGAATGCGGATGTCATATCATTCTTATTTAACACTCGGTAAATAACAAAGATGGAATGATATCTAGGTGGTACCCTAGTGGGAATCTATAAAGCCAAGGGTGGTCACTATTTATAGTCTTTCCTTAGGGAGGAATGAAGATTCCTTGAATTAAATAATTGAATTAAATAATGAATTTAATAATGTATGAGCCAAATATTTATACAGCAAATTA